AAAACAATGGTAAGATCGGAGGGAAGGAGGAGGCATTTCAGTCAACCAAGCAAAAACTCCTAAGGGCTTTCGTCAAGACTAGGGTTTCAACTCTCCTTTTATAAATGAAAGCAAAATGGCCGGCGCCACAACTCACTAGGCTAATCCTCCACCTTGCGGCGCCGGCACACCGGGTTCTAGTCCCGGTCGGGGCGCCGGATTCTGTCCCGGTTGCCCCTCTTCCAGGCTAGCTCTCTGCTGTGGCCCGGGAGTGCAGTGGAGGATGGCCCAAGGACCCCATGGGAGACCAGGAGAAGCACCTGGCTCCTGCCATCAGATCAGCGCAGTGCGCTGGCCGCGGCGGCCATTGGAGGGTGAACCAACGGCAAAGGAAGACCTTTCTCTCTGTCTCTCTCTCCCACTGTCCACTCTGCCTGTCAAAAAAATAAATAAATAAAAATAAAAATAAATAAATGAAAGCAAAATAATGATCTAGTTATGCTACCCAGAAAAAACAAATATTCTCAGAAAATGATCTCAAATCAATGTATTTGGGCTCCTCATCACACAAAATTTAGTCTAGAAGACAAAAAAAAAAAAAACTATCCAGTTATATTAGTCTAAGTAACAAATAGAAGAAATTGTCTACAAATAGGAATGGGGGGCTGTGGAGTCAGAGGATGGTAAAGCACTCAAAATTAGCAACACAGAGTAGGCATTTGGTCTAGTGATTAAGATGCCAGTTAAGACACCTGCAGCCCGTATCAGAGTGCTTGTGTTCAAGTCCTGTCTCTGGCTCCTAACTTCAGCTTCCTGCTAATGCAAACCCTGGAGGAGGCAGGTGACGGCTCAATACTTGGGTCTCTGCCATCCACACAGGAGACCTGGATTTAGTTCCTGGCTCTTGGCTTCAGCCTGGCCCAGCCGTGGCTGTTATGGGCATTTTGGGAGTGAACTAGCAGATGGAAGATCTCCCTGTGTCTGCCTATATATGTCTGTCTCCCTCCCTCTCAAATAATAATAATAATAATAAAATAAATTAGCAACAGTAGGTTGGAAGGACAAAGAAAGAAGATAGGGTAGCCAGGGCCCACTGTGAGAGTCAGCCCATGCTGGAGTTGACCAGCAGAATTCCATGGGACCAAGGAGGCAGGGTCTACGGAGTAAAAGCTGAGGCCATAGAACAGACAAGTCTGAGGAACAGACGCAGAGGAGGATAACCAAGGCTCTTCCATTGCCTGAGTCACGTGCCAGTACCTCTTTGTCTTAGTCTGTTTTAGGCTCCTATAATAAAAACACCATGAACTGACTAGGTGACTTAAAAATAAGCATGTATTTCAACAGCTCTAGATGCCAGGAAGTCCAATATCTACAATGGGCTCCAACACATAAATTTAGGGGAGGATACAAACATGCAGTTCACAGCACTCCCCTTGGTCAAACACAGAATCCAGTCAGCAAGGGAACCCAGGAAAGGTTACCTGTAATACAGGGTAGAACACAGGCAGGGCAAGAAGTGGCCCTAACAGCAAACAGGAAAATGACTGGCAAGCGCTTCCTGCCTTCGCAATTGAAAGAACCCAGAAATTCACAATATACCAGTTTGCCTAGCAGGTCCCTGCACTGAAATATCCTGCTTAAAAAGTTTTAAAAAGTCTTTACTGCCAGATTTGGCTTAATGCCTACATTTCCAAATGACACTTACTTTGAGGTTCTTAATCCTAACCAAAAGGAAGCTACCTGGCAAGTCCCTATGCTTTAAGACTTCTACCTTTCAGTTCCTCTGACCAGGCACTGTTCTACCTCCACCATATCTACAACCCCACCCACTCCACCCAGGCCCCACAGAACTTCGCTCACAATCCTTCCACTCTCACTTCTCCCGGTCCTGGGGCCGCGTGTTGGCATCCATGATTCTATCAAGTACATGAGACCACTCATTAGACAACTGTCCAATGAATAAATGAAAACAAGTAACTTTAGGAGACAAGTATGCTTCATTCGCCACTGCAAAATGGTCTCAGATTGTTTTTAAGTGTGCCTGTTATGAACTGAATATTTTTGTCCCCTAAAATTTTGCGTGTGTGATACGAGGCCATTGGGCAGTAGACTGAGTTGCACATAAAACATTGCATCCCCAGCACCTTACACACTGTCTGAAAGACAGTAAGCACTCACATATTTAGATGAATAGATGTCCTATCAAATTAAACCCCTAAAGTTTCTGCCTCCAAAGACAGTACACTCTGAAACACTGTTCTGTCAGCTGAGCAAACACATCAAGGGAAAGACAGACAATTGCAAATTAGACAAAAGTCTGTGGTTTATCATTTACCAGGTTCTGGAGTGATCAGCCAAGATGGCCTGAAAACCCAAGGGCCAGTTCTTTAACAGCTGAGAAACTGGAGAAGACATTCAAGTTTTACAATGCAAATTACATCTGAAACCATCCCGGCCCTGTGACTTCATCTGTAGCTTGCAAATGCCCTGTGACCAAGCTGTGATTCACATTATCAGCTCTCAGCAAACAACCAATGGTGACCTACTGGAACCAGTCCAAAAAGCAAGTTTCATAAGAGTCCTTAGTGATATTCTGCAAGATGTGCTAAGCATGGTTCCCGGTCACACAGACAAGGAAACCTCTCCTTTCTCCAATACTGAAATGTACCTCATGCCAATTTCAAGGATGTTTACAGACCACACTCTATTAAAAATAAAAGTTTCTGGTCTACTTACACACAAGAACATTGGAAGACAGAATGGTGATATGAACTAAAATCTATTGCATCTAGATGTACCATATGTCAGGCACTGTGTTAGATGCATCCATATAATTTCTCATTATATACTCATAATAACTGGAAGGTGATAGTACCATTCCTATTTGAGAGGAAATGTGTTTGGGATTTAAACAGCTTTTTCCAAGTTATACCACTGATAATGGACAGGGCTGAGATTTAGGTCAGGGTCTGTGAGACAGCGCCTGAGGATTTCTTCCCATGATCTTTCCCTCTGTCTCTGTCCTCTCCCCCCATGTCTATCTCTCTATTCTGTCAGTTGAGAAATGAGGAAAGCAGCATTGCCTAACCCCATGCTAAATACTTTGTTAGCTCTCCTTAATTCCCAAGAAATTTTTGAGGTATTTTTCTTCCCATTACATCAATAAATCCACTGAGAACTGAAGTTAAGGATGCAACCAAAATTCCACATTTTGTAGAAGATAAAAAGTTTACTTTCAAAGACCATACTCTTTCTACATTACTTAGCTGTCCCCAATTCTATCCTAAATATAAAAGGATTTTTTTGTGTTGGGGGTTCTACCCAAATGACAGAAAACCATTTAACAGAGATAAACCAATAGAAGCAAAGCAGCTGGAAGGTCTTGTTCAGTCTGCAAAGGAACTCTTCAAAAACAGCAACCACCCATCCCATGCTATGTTGTCTAGAAAACGCTTTCCAGATGCATGAGCCCATGTGATCGTCACAAGAGCCTTGAAAGGTAAGTACTAACATCGCTGATTTCCAGAACAAGAACTTAAAGTTCAAATAGGATAATTAACTTATAATCACACTATTGTGAAATTCTTAAGGCTGGACCCAAAATATTGGTGGCCCAACTGCACCATCTTCCCCTCTCGCAAGGAATATTTCTTCTCAGGGACCTTCTTAATTGGAGACCACAGTTACTGGAAAAGATCCCTTATCTTAGGGAAGATGTTCAATGCATGTGGGTCTCCAGGGCAAGATTGCAGGGACAAGCTCTAATGACTTCAAACATCTCCATTAAGTCCACCCCCACCAGTGAACAGAAGAATATTTTCCTTCCACAATGCACACCAGGAATAAAACTGGAATCACAAAACCCAAGTATTCTTTGCTCTCACTATGACTCCTCAGCCAGGAGGAGGAGGGTGGGGCACTGTGGAACATGCACAGCCAATCTCCCAGTCAGGTCTTCATCTGTTCTTCAAACCCTTTGTTGCTCTAATGGATAAAAAGGTATGAACCCTCATGCTCCTCTCCGCTCCATTTAGAGGAGCTGCAGGGCTACTTCTCCCTTCTCCACATCTGCAAATGCAGGATGGAAGTACTCATGATCTCCCTGTAAAAAGATTACGATGCCTCTTGTATTCCTACAAGGGAAATAAACCACAGTATGGTGCCAAGAACCTCAGTGATAACATGCTTTTGGGGTTTTTTTTTTTTTTAATCATTCATTGAACAAATACATACCTAATGCCACACTGAATGTTTTATAAGCATTATCCCATTTAATCTTTATAATAATCCCATGGGGAATTATATTATCGATCCCAATTTACAGATTAGGAAACCATGACTCACCATTTTACGGAACATTCACAAAATCAACAGCTGGTCAGAAGTGGAGCTGAGATTTATACCCAAGCTCCCCTGGCTCCAAAGCCTGTATTTCTGTCCAGGATAAACTCCTGATTCCACAAGCTTCCCACCACTTCCTATCTACTGCAGCACCAGCCCAACAAAGACCTCTGAGATTCAGGATTATGTGAGAATCTCCAAGCAGCTCATTTTTGCCCTGTTGAACTGGTAGTTTCTCAGTTCCTCAGTTACCACCAGAGTAAGTGAAAGGGACTATAAAAATTTTGGATTCAACAAATTTGATCTAACTGGTAACAGGCTTTTAAGATACAATGCTTTTTCACATGACCATATGGGGGATGCTATATTTAAATTATGGACTTGAGGCAAGAAAGGATGTCATTAAAATGCTGTTATATAACATAAGAATGAATCCAAAGGCATCTCTCCAGTTACAATTTACCCTCTGCTGACTTTCTTAATAAGATTAAAATCCAGATCCTCCCAAAGAAGTACTGAAAAGACAATCTCCTGGTAACATCTTCATGTAGGCATCCCACCCAGCAGAAGACTGCTGACCTCCTGCCGCTGCCCACGAAAGATGGGGGATTTTGTATGGTTACTATGGAAGCTGTGTTTTCTTATGGATGTTCAGAGTAAAATACAGGAAGGTCGCCTACCTCTGAGAAGAACTCATCCATGAAAGCTGTGTTGTCAATAGCGATCTCAACCTCATCAGTGTCATCATCTTGTGTCAGCTGCTTCTGCAAGACACGAAAAAGAGAAGAGGGGGGAATCAAAAAGCACAATGAATAGTCAACATTACTGAGGCTCACTAAGTACTGGAAGCTGGGCCCGGCGCTGTGGTGCAGTGGGTTAACACCCTGGCCTGCAGTGCCAGCATTCCATATGGGCACCGGTTCAAGACCCGGCTGCTCCGCTTCTGATCCAGCTCTAAGCTATGGCCTGGGAAAGCATCAGAAGATGGCCCAAGTCCTTGGGCCCCTGCACCCACATGAGAGACCAGGAAGAAGCTCCTGGCTTTGGATCAGCGCAGCTCTAGATGTTGTGGCCAAACGGGGAGTGAACCATCAGAAAGACCCCTCCCTCTCTCCCTCTCTCTCTCTCTCTGCCTCTCCTCTGTGTAACTCTGACTTTCAAATAAATAAATAAATCTTTAAAAAAAAAAGTACTGGAAGCTTTATTAAGCGTTTTGTACATGAATTCCTTGAAAACTCATAATATCTCTATGACTTACCAAACTGGGGGGGGGGGGGGGGGGCAGGTTACATTGCCTGAAATTAAATCCTTGCTCTATCACTTAATAATTTTTTTTTGCTGTGAGTAAAAGCAGATAAAGGGAGGGAGGTGCAAGTGACCAATCAATATTGCTGCCTCTAGTTTAAATGTCAATACAAGTAAGAGTACTACCCACTTCATAGGGTTGTTGAAGCAATTAACAAGATCATGAATATAAAATACTTTTGCACAGTATTTGGCACACTGAAGTACTCAATAAATGCTATTTACTGGTGGTGGCAGTCATGGTGGTAATGGTAGTATTTCTGTAGGAGGTGGCTTCAAAAAATTCATGGAAAATAGAACTAAAACATAAATTTACTTTGGTGTAAATTATTTGAAATCCATACAAAGGAAAAGATGGAAAATACATATTATGGCAAAAAAAACTATACATGGATCCCAAAACATTTTTACAACAAGATAAACTTATTATCTTTCAATTCTAAGTAACCCCCTGGTCCCCACACTCACACAGTTGAGGTTAAGTAACTCGTCCAAAATCACACAGCTAAAACTTGGGACAGGCAAACTCTATCCTGTCTACGAATCTGGGACCATTCTCAATTCTGTTCAAACAGGTCCAAGACACAATTCCTCTCAAGCACGAGCTTTAAATACTCTCAGCAGGAGTACAGACTTTCCTGTCTCCAGAACCACCTATTACAAAGGAAATCGCGCTGTGCTGCTCCCTGTCAGAGTTCATGTTTATAAGGAAAAGGAAGTTCTCTCCCATCGCCCAGCAACCTCTGGGGACCCAAGCCTTCTCATTCAACTTCCTCTGGAAGATCTTCAAAACGGCCTTCCAAAAGGGAGGCATTCCACTCCCTGCCCAGCTCAGGCGGCTCAGCTGTTTCTTCTTGAGTGCTCTCCCCAGACTGCTGCTGTACCACACACTGCCAATCTCTAAGCACACAGCGGGCACTGCTTGCTGAGGGAGGAAGGTGGGGGAACTTCCCAGTACTTGTTTCTTCAGTGGCCTGTGAGGCCCCAGACGTCCACAGGCAATGAAAATCACCAGGGGCCTCTGTTCTTCCCTTGCCACCATTCCCTGAATCTGCAGAAGGAGTTCTTACTGGGAATTCCCATCGATATCTGGAGCTCTCCAACCATCTGGGAGGTGTCTTGATTGCCTCTCCTGGTGTTTCATTCTCTGGATGGTTTAGAGCATGCCACAATTTACAGCCACAATCAAGGGAGTCAAATTTGAGGTCCCTGCTACAGCCTCCATGATCATGTCCCTAAAACTAAGAACCGATCATGTCCTTTTACCACCTAAAATCATTCAAAGACCACTCAACTTCTAGGATTAAAAGTTTAATGTCTAACTCAGTTTACTGGCCCTTTAAGACCCATGCTCAGCCACATCTCTCCCACTATGATGCACCCCCTAGACCAAGCACTTGGAACTCCTTGCATTTCCTGGACACACCATTGTTTCATTATCACTGATGTCACATAAGGCCTTCTTCCTGAAAGGCACTTGTCCAACTGGCAAGTTTTTACCTAGCCTTTAACACTTGGCTCAGCCAACGCTCATGGAATGACACACGCCTAACACATGCCTTCCCCCATGCAAATATAAAACCTCCCTAAACTCCCAGTGCACTTAATTTGTACAAACTTTCCATAGCAACTATCACAGCCTTCTACTATTTATCCCTTAAATACCTATTTTCCCCCACAGGCTATAGACTCTGGGGTTCAGAGTTGACTCATGTATACGTTAGAGTAAATTTGCGTGTGTGTTGGTGTTCCCAGAATACCTTCCTTTGCAGAGTTGTTCATCATGCTCCCCATCTATTCCTGGAGAGGCTATAAATCCAGCTCCCTGAGAAATCTTACGAAAGGAGTCTAAACCAAGTGGAGCTGAGTCAACCAACGGTAGCATCCAAAAAATGTTCACGAAACTCCCAGGACCGCCTTCGTACTTATCCTTCCTGAGGCCCCCATGGCTATGGAGAGGTTCTACAGATCTTCTCAAGTTTCCTTTCAATGAGCTTAACAGTATCCTAATAACATATTATTCTGCCAAAATAAGCTTTTGTCACTTGCAATTAAGCCTGAGCACTGCTTTTTGTCATTAATTTATTATACCTGACTGAATAACTCTTATCTGAAATGCTTGAAACTAGAAGTGCCTCAGAATTTGGATTTTTGGGGAATATTTGCATAATCTTGGCAATGAAACCCAGCTCGAAACACAAAATTCATTCATTTAATATACTTATACACACAGCAAAGGTAATTTTAGATAATATTTTTGGTGTATTTTTGACTGACTCATCACACAAGGTCAACTGTAGAATTTTTCATTTATGTATCATATTGGCAGCATTCAAAAAAATTTCAGATTTGGGGTACATTTCAAATTTTGGATTTTCTTGGCCAGCACCATGGCTTACTAGGCTAATCCTCTGCCTGCAGCGCCAGCACACTGGGTTCTAGTCCCGGTTGGGGCACCGGATTCTGTCCCAGTTGCTCCTCTTCCAGTCCAGCTCTCTGCTATGGCCCGGGAAAGCAGTGGAGGATGGCCCAAGTGCTTGGGCCCTGCACCCGCATGGGAGACCAGGAGAAGCACCTGGCTCCTGGCTTCAGATCGGCACAGCGCCGGCCATAGCAGCCTTTTGGGGGGTGAACCAATGGAAGGAAGACCTTTCTCTCTGTCTCTCTCCCTCCCTGTCTAACTTTACCTATCAAAAAAAAAAAAAAAAAGCTTAAAAAAATTTTGGATTTTCAGACTAGGAATACTCAACCTATACTTAGTAATATACACACATTCACACACAATTAATTCAGGCCTCAACCACACATGCTGACTGGGAAGAGGGATAGACTAAGAGAAGTTTCCAGAGGCTGGGAACAATGGTGTCCTGGAGCACAGAGGGCTAGCTCTCCGTGGTGATACAAGCAGTTGAAAACCCTGGAATTTTTACAAGGAATCTCACATCCAAGATGGCCATCTCTTGGCTTTGTGCAGGCTGCAGATGGGCAGCCTTGTCCACTGACAGAAAATGCATAAACTGAGGACAGAGAAGCCACTGGTAAGCATGACACAGGTCTAAAATCTGCTATTACCAAATACTGGCTGAGAGCTCTCAGTCAGATCATAATCTGAGTCTGCTACATGTGGGTGTTAACACCACACACCTTATGAGGCCTGGAAGAAATCACATATGGAAAGCTTCTAGCACAAGAGAAAGTACACACAAATGCCTAATAAATGTCAGTTTCCCTATCACCTAGCTTAAAGGTGTGGGTTTAAAGAACAAAACCTGGCACTAGCATTGTGGCACAGAGGCTAATGCCCATGCTGACATCCATATAGGCGCCAATTCATATCCCCAGCTGTTCCACTTCCGGTCCAGCTCTCTGCTAATGGCTTGGGGACAGCAGAAAATGACCCAAGTACTTGGGCCCCTGCCACCCACATGGAAGGCCAGGAAGAAGCTCCTGGCTCCTGGATTCGGCTTGGACCAGCCCTGGTCATTACATCATTTGAGGAGTGAACCAGCAGTTGGAAGATTCTCTCTCTCTCTCTCTCCCCCTCCCCCCTCCCACACTTTCACATAAATATATAAATATATTAAAAAGAAAAGAAAAATAACAGAATCCTGTATGAGAAGGAGAAGGGAGGGAGGGGTGAGAAAAGCAGAAGGGAGGGGGGTGGGGGCAAAAAAGGGGAGGAGTGGGAGAAGCAGGGCAAACTTCAGAACTTCCTCCACAGGAAATTCTCACACTAAAGGCAAAGTGAGCAGGACTGGTTCCACAGCATCATGACGACCAGGTTCTGTATCTGCCTCCATCACATGCTTGTCAGTACGCATTAAACAGATGGCCCAACATCTCCAAGCCTTGATAGCCTCATCTGGACCCTGCTTCAGAGGCAAGCTCTGTACCACTGCAATTGCCCACAACCTACTTGATGATCTCTCTGTTCCAATCCCATCACTCCTCCCATTTCCCAGCATACACTGGCTCCCTATCACCTACTGTGCGAAGTCAAAGGCCTCAGCCTGTCTTTCAAGACCCTCTGCCAGTTGGTCATATGTACCCTTATCTGCTCATATTTCCTACTGCTCTCTGCAGGCACTGACTCTCAAGTTCACTTCCTCACTATCTTCTGCAGCCATCACATTTATTCATGCCCCTGGATTTCTATTAGCACTGTGCACCCTTATTCTGTAGCACCACCTACATACATGGTTGTCCCTTGGCATCTGGGGGAGGGAGGGGGTTCCAGAACACTCTGTGGACACTGAAACACTTGGATGTGCAACTCCCTTATGGAAAATGGCACAGTATTTTCATAACTTTCACACATCCTCCTGCATACTTTAATTTTTTAAAAGATTTTATTTATTCATTTGAGAGGTACAGTTACAGACAGAGAGGAAAAGACAGAGAGAAACGTCTTCCATCTGCTGGTTCATTCCCCAGATGGTTGCTACAGCTGGAGCTGGAC